CCAAGAATATTTAACTTTTCGGGTATTTGAACAAATAGGCAATCGGCTTCATCAAGGCATAGTTCCGGAACTGTGGCATGTCATATATCACTCAGGTGTACGACAATCCCGCTATTTTGATTTAATTCCTAGTGCCTATGCGTTTTAAAAGCGTTATATCCAGGTTTGAGCCAACATTCGGTCAGAACTATAATATCCATGGAAATTTCTAAACGTTGTAAGGCTACCATTAAATTATCAAAGTTTGTTCCTAGGCTTCTGATATTGAGACAAAAATAGCTTAAAGGTAAATTGCAGAGTGATGACATGTTTGCAATCACTTATATCTTTTATAATTTCACACTTAACCTGCTCGTACTCGTTATATAAAACTAGATGCTCATGTCGTGCGTCATTTCGAAGTGATCGTGCCAGTAAATCGAACTCCGACAAAATGCCGAATTGCAGTGTATTTACATGAAAAAACAACAATCAAAAACGTCAAGTATACAAAAGGACAATGTGACTTTTCATCTGTGAGTATTTTTAACATAATATTAAAGTAATTTTATCGTTAAAACTCGTACTTTGTGAATATTATCGTCCAATACCGAGTGTGGCCATCATAGTTCATAAAGTGAAAAATAGTCTATTATTAAATAAATATAATTTACTACACAAGTTATATATATTAACGGAAATATATTTCCTAATAACTAAATCAGTTTGTGATGAATAATAATCATTATATATAGATGTGTAGTGGATTTTGTTAAATGATTTATATATTCAGCTCAATTTTAACACGGTACTGAATATTATATAAGTAATTAAATATAATCGATAACTAGTATTTATTAAAATATTATACAAAATACAGGCCAAATAAGTCAAATCGAAACTTGCTACCTCGCAGCAAAAGTGTGCAATTTTTATAAAAATACTGGTATAGAACCGAAAGTATTGCACTATAGTGATGAACGCCGCAACTTTAGCTATCGATAAGTTAATTAACCATGCGGGTTTGCCGAACCGGTTTGTAGTTTTTATTTAGATTTTATAATAATGTATTACAAAAATTAGTAAAAATTTCTATTATTGGTTTGTTATTACAGATTTCCAAGAGATCCTCTTAGGCGGCACACTTGGATTGTACCTTGAACTTGTGGGAGGTAATTTTGGCAATTGGTAAATTTGGCCAAAATTAAAATTATTTATTTTAGGGTGATCGTGGTGATTGCTTATTCGTCTACATCGAAAAAGAAAGCTGGATGTTCCGGCAAAATTCCATAAGTTACCTCGAAATCCACAATTCGAAAAAAAAATCTTATATAGCCCGAACTATTGTCCTTACTCCCACTGCGAGTACGACGCCAACTTACTTAGGCCAAAGAAATATTAAATATATAAAAATATGCCTTGACATAAAAAATAGCATAAACAGGCTTCACAAGTTTGCAAGAAATACCATGCCCTAACACTTAACTATTACTCACCAAAAGCCTATCGCTATGTACGTAAAACTTTTGGAACTTGTTTGCCTGCACCCGTACATTGACTAAGTGGTACACTACCATCGATCACCGACCAGGTTTTACTCAAGAAGCGCTGACGGCATTAAAATTAAAAGCGGAGAGTAACCCTGATAAATTTTTTTTATTGTACCTTGGTAATGGATGAAATGAAAATTAAGCAATTGACAGAATACCATGCATTATGTATATAACCAAAATGTCTTTTAGAACTTGCATGGTGCTCCGTCAGTTGTTTTATTTTCATTTCATCTATCACCAATATACAATATAATTTTTTGTCAGGGTTACTCTCTAGTCTAAGTTTTAAAACAATTAACGCTTTTTTGTGTAGCCAAGTCGGCTATAAATTGTACTGTACCACCTTGTTATAGTATGTGATGAAGGCAGACCAATTTCAAAACTTTTGATATTTCGCACATATTGTTAAGCTTTCGGTGAATAGTAATGGAAAGTTAAAGAAAAACATCTTTCTGGGGAATACTTAGCCCTAGTTAGATGTCACGTTTTAATTTTAAGCAGCCGTCTGCTTAAAGTTCACTTTGTTAAACTATTGTATAGTGTAAAACTTTTTTGTTTTCCTAATTTATTAAATATTTTCCAGACAGTTCATTTAATAACTCTTGAAAATCAACAACTATTTTTAATTGGCGGTTTTGTGATTGGAGCTTTATAATAAAAACAAAAACTTGGTTAACACCATCTAAGACGATAAACTGATAGGACTTTTCTTTTCAAAAAATCTGATTTTTAAAATAAGTTAACTAAACCTATTTCGATTTGTTAAATGTTTTAAATTTTATCCTGCATAATGTAAAATAAACCTGTAGCAAAATAATAAACTTATTTTCAATAATTTCTAAGTTTTTTCCGAAGAACATTTCTAAATACTTGAAAAAAAGAATTTCAAATAACACCTTGGTATTATTTATCTATGTATTACTTATAATCAAATAAAAACTTATGCGGACTATGGTGATTTGTTTATCGATAAAAAACATCGACATAGTTCACGCCTTATGTTGCTTACGCATTTAGACTAGACCAGTGACTTGATCGGCGTCACCTGTTTCAAAACTAGTGATTTTTGTAACTGGCTATTTTTATTCGGCTACTGTGATTGTTTGCATAAATATCACCACCAACTATACAGTTACACACGAAACGAAAATAAATTTAATCACAATCTGTGTTTGTAGCTATACAGTAACTGTATACTGTTAAATCAATAAATTAACTTCCCTTCATACTTTATTCGGGTTTAGAACAGACTGCATTAAATGTATTTATCATTGATTTGCGTTTACTATGACACTAATATTTTCATAAAGTTATTAATGCAGGCATATTTACAAGTCAATTTGATTGTATGTACAATGATTATTGATATTTATAGTTTATTTACACTTTTTCAACGTTTTCATTGTCATTTGTTTTTGCACTTTTATTTACACTGTACAATTAATTTTTTTTTGTTTGGCTATTTTTAAGTTTTATAATATTATAAACATTTAAATTTTTTATACACATTTTTTAGTTTTGTTTTAATTTTATGAATAAACGAGTTCATGACTCCGTCAAAAATGTTTTAAAAATTATTTTACTTAAATTCAATGTGACTCGCTTCCCGGAATCACAAACCGTTGAAAATATTTACAAACAGAGATTACACTATTTTATTGTCTATGTCTATAGTCTTACGTATGAAAATTAAACGTACAGTAAAAGTTACTTACGATGGTTTGTTTATTGTTGTATGCCACATGTGCGCTTTGCGCTCGAGCGACCGACACACCGACAGTCGACTCCCGCAATAATCATGGTTAACAGTAATCATAATCACGCATTTACAAAAATCACTACTTGTAACATGACTCGAAACTAGTGATTCGGTTACATGCCGCGTAGCCAGTTACTGTATCTAGTGACGTGAAATAACGCCCACGTCTAATTTAGACAGCGCCATCAGTGTATCGACACGTGTACAATTTGATGGTATGCGTAAACGGGATGAACACAAACACAAATGCTGTAGTGTGCGTTTATAGTGACGCGATTTAATTTTGCATTTGTAGTTAAGTATACAGTTGTGTGGTTTTCTTGCGCCTCCCTGATGTTGACAGAATTTTTGTTTAGGAATTAACGCTCATGGCCTCTCCAGTTGGCTGAATACCCAAAGTATATGGGTAACGCTAACGCTATTGGCTGAATACGTTAGTGGTTGATGTTCTTTTTATGTATTTTATTGTTATGCTATTGGCTAAAATATTGGTTGGTGTTAATTTAAACTGTTTAAACAAAGCGCGTCAGTTTATTATCATTTTATTTAGAGTTTATTTCTCCAGTAGGAGTGATTGTTTTCTGTAGTTTACTTTTTCATCAAAATATTACAAGGGTGTATAAAAAGCTGTAAAAATATATACTAGGAAAGTTAATTCAGATTTAGTGAAATTAGTTACTACTTATATTATTAAGTGTAGTGTACAAAAATATAGGATTTTGGTTAGAGTTTAATTTTCACCTTTTATCATGCCGAGACGTCACACACAGCTGTGGGACCATCTTGAAAAATTTGTATTTTTTTTTACATTTAATAAATACTAAATACCTAATAATCATTGTAAACAATATAAAATTATTATAAATCATAATATAATATAGGTATTGAATTAATTGGACTGTGTGTGTGAGTATTAATTAGACTTTAATAATAAAAAGACTCAAAGTATGAAGAAATGTTTATTGAATTAAAATTCCATGCGTAAAATAGCAATAAAATTACACAACCGATTAAAAGTAAAAATTCACTACAAAAGTAATATTTTTAACTGTTAATTATATCTGTTAAAAAAAATTAACAAATAACTTTTAACAAATAAATAAATTTAACTATTATTTTTTTTATATTATTATAACGGTAATAACTCAGCGGCCGTACTATAACGCCATGTCTAACTGCAGAACCAGAGGTGAATGGAGGTGTGTTGCCTTTTCAAAAAAACTATATTTTTTTATCTTATCGTCAAGTTGCCTTAGAATTGATAAAAAAGACGTTCCAGAACCAAAACTAGTAAATCACACTGTGGTCCAACGCAAAGTATCGTCAATTGCAACATGCGACGGTGGAACGCGATAGCTGGAATTGATTTGAACAATTCCTCTGAGCACTCCCCGTGGTAACGCTTTTGTAACCTATTCTAAGATCAGCTTACGTTCTTCGAAAACTTAAAATGCTATAGTCATTGTGTTATTAAATACTGGTTTTTTTTGGCTGAAAACCATGCAGCCAATGCCTCCATCATTAAAAAAAAACTGATGCTAACGGATTTGTTTGACAAATACTTTTAAAGTTGGTTTGGAAAAATGATCTGTTTTTCGTCAATTTTGCGTTTATTGTTACTTCTCTGACAAATAAATAATATTATTTTAGTGCTAATGTCGTCATAGTCAGTGTCCAGTTAATTATGTTGTTTTAAGTGTAAACTAATAATGGCAGCGATTCTAAAACAAAAAGATTTATTTGTGACGCTTAAAAAAGAGACGATTTTGAACATAGGGATTTTAAATAAGCTACAGCCGATGACTTCAGAGATTCATCTATTAATATTTAAAGAAAATGGACTTGAGAAACCAACTCAAACTTTGTTCAATCACCTTTCTTATTATTTGGTCAATATCATCGACCCTCAAGCCTGTGCATCATTGCCTTGGCCTTTGTATGACACTAAGAATGAAAGAGCATATAGAAATGAGTTATCTAATTTTGTAAGTGATTATAGCAGCAAGGGACTAATCGCGCCAGTTATGTCATCATATTTTGTTAATCCAGGTTGCTACAAAGTAACTATCCTTATTTTTCAATTATCCCAGCTGGCCGTGCAATGTGTGCTTATTCCTAAAATGAGTGAGGACCCTAAGAAAAAATTATACAGTGAGGTCACAGATAAATATAAAGCTCTGAAAGATGAAGATTTTATTGAATATATTGAGAATGAAACTCATGTTATGTTATTAAAGTTTTCCAACTATTTAAAGAAACGACAGACCCTGGAAAAAATTGCAGAATTATTCAGAAACAGAATATCAGAAATGGAGGCTAAATTAGGGGCAACAAATTCGCAAAAATATATAAATGGTTTAGTTGATGCATACATTAACAAATACAATCCTAATGAAATAGTTAAAATGGAGTTATTGAAAATTAAAAATGTTAAAGAATCTTGTGAGATATTTGATATGTGGTTAAATGAAACTGATAGATTAATGGACACATTGGAATCTAACTGGGATGAATTACATACTCCATTGTTAAATGCAGCTACTGCAGCACTAGAGAATAGTAAAGCTTTAATAGGCAGACATACGGGAGAAATTGACAGAAGTTTGTTTACAATTGAGTATAGCCCTCAAACTGATGCAATTTGTACAAAAGAACTTCAGCATCTGGTTAACAGCGAACAGAAGTACATCTTGAAAAACATAGAAAAGAATGGTTATCTGAATTTCCCTAATTTAGTCCGCAGCTTTGTCATAGCTGTTTGTTTCATTTTAAGGAACAATGAGATTGGAGATGAAATTTATAAATTCAATCAATATTTAGACAGAGGACTCCAGAATTATTCCGAACTTAAATCTGCCATGAAAATAGTGAATGAGAGAGTTTTAAATGCCGAGTCTAAACTTCAGGTAATCACTTTTAAATAAAATCTCAAAAAGGTATTTCAAATATTTCTTACCATAGAATACTATAATACACAATAGAATGGCTGTCAACATTATTTTGTATGACAATATGCATCGCCGGGAGCACACATACAAGTTAGTTAATCACTACTACAAACCCAATTCGCTGTGTTGACAGATGGATTTTAATACTTATTTATTTGTAAATAGGGTACAATTTGGCATTTTCTAAATAATTTGCATGCAAAATTTGGAAACTATTGTAATGTCAAAACACATCTCATGTTGACATTTATACATGTGAATTGACATGTTAGTGGCTTTTAGTGGCTACATGGGCTCCACCCACTCCCCCGTTCTATTATCAAAAGTAAAAATACATAGTGTAACTGACTTTTGTTTAGACCACAGGATAGAAAATTTTGTATAGATTCTATAATGCCAAACTTCTTTATAGAAAAGTAGTCTCTAAATATAATTATTTATGAGTAAAATTGCTGTGGGTGGGTGCGGTCGAATTCGACCGCTTGAATTTTGACGGAACATCGCCTTGGTCGTATCCAACCGTGTGCCGATTGAAGGGTTAACAAACATTTATTTACCATAGGTGTTACCGATAGCCCCTAGTGCAGGGCATGCAAGGGGAAGGAAGAAACGGTGGATCACGTGTTGCTGACATGTCCGGAGGTCACTTCATACGGAGCTAAACATCTCGGCAACCGGGGATCACTCCCCGAAGTTGCTTGCAACATCAAAGAACTGTTGAACTTCTTCGGGGAGATTTCATGGCTCGAATAATCACATTATTTCAGCCCACACGCAAAATACGCGCTTAGACATGGAGTTGTGAAAAACAGCCCGTCGTTAACTAAACTAAAATTATCAATCTTGTGTAATTTATGTTACTTTCTAAAATCTTTAATGTTCTAAATTATTTTAATCACAGGTTGCCCAAGTTAGTGGAAGCCATTCACCATCTCAGGAAATTATTGAAATCCCACCTTTACCTGACTTATCAAACTTAAAGGCACACAGAGATGGACAGTTTCTATTTGATTCATTCACACCATTGAGTCTAACAAAACATCAATTTAATTTGAGAAGGAAACTCAATCCAAATTTCTTGAAACCACAAAGAAGGTCTTTACTGATGAACCACTTTACTGCTCCCAGAGATGATTTCCTCAAAACGCTTATATCCTGTAGAGTGAGCACATATGATAGATCCAATAATACTCAAAACATACACAATATGTCTGTAATCTCGCAGGCCCAGAAAGCTAATGAAACTATAGCTGAATGTTCATCTGGCTTTACAAAACAGCAAATTTTAAGGTTACTTTCAACTAAAAGATCAAGCAGCTCCAAAAAGTTCAAATATAAGACTGAAAGGCCGGAGATTAAGGTGAAAAAAGGTGGTTTGTTCAATGAGTCCATTACTTCTAATGAGAGCAGTGGTCTGTTTCGGAGTTACTCATCTCCAAACTTAATTGAGAATAGAGAGACAAAGCCTATAACTACAGGAAGAGCAAGAAAGTTGTCTATAATGCAAGAAGACAGTCCAAATTCAATTTTTGAAGTCTCTGGTATAGCTGCATTAGATAAAAATAGTAATTTTAGCACACCTCAGGGTGGCGGTGGCGTGGAAAACACAAAATTTGATTCGTCAAGCCAGCCTATAATATCTATGGTAAAAGATTCTGAAAAGGGAGTGAATAATATTTTAGATAACATTCAAGTTGATTTAAATAAGGAAATTGGGGATGGTAGTATAAATTCTGAAATATCGTCATATAATGATGAAAAATGTCTGGAACTTCAAATACCTGAAATAAAAGTTGAAACACCCCAAACAAATGCACAGCTCATTAGAAAAACAAGTTCTTTAGAGAAAATTATAAATCGTTTTAAGAAAGTCCGTGCAAATGTTTTACAATCTGTGTCATTTGAATCACCAAAAAATATTAAAACAATTGTGGAAGAGAAAGAAAACAATTTTAATACTGTCAATGTGGATGTGTTTTCTGAAAATAGAACTTTATTACCTGATCTTATAAGTCTAAGTTTTAATACATTGCCAAAAACAACTGTTACTTTTGTAGACAGTATCTGCCTGGATATTGATGACAAACAACAACCTAGGAGACCTAGAGAAAGCCTTGGTACTGCTTTAGGAGTGGACCATACATTCTTAGATCAATTTGATTTAATTGACTGATATGTTATTTTAAAGAAAACTGCATATATGGAAGGATAAAGTCTGAACTAAATATTTGAAATAGTTTAATTGCCTTGTAATAAATCTTTAAGGATGTTCCGCAAATAATTTATCTTCTATTCTTTTTCCTAATAATTTGTTTTTGTTCTAAGGATTCATTTGATTCTTACAACTTTCCATGTAACCACTACTACTTCGGAGACTTCGTAAGTCCACTGCTGAAAGTAGGCCTCCCCAGAGGAATGCTACAAAGCATGGTCCTGATCCACCTGCATCCATCGACTTCCTGCATATCTTACCAGGTCGTCACTTCATTTACTGGTTGGTTTTTTATATGTCTTTAACTGTCTATCTTACGTGTCGGAACTTAGCTTCCTTGAATTGACTTTGACTGGCTGTTTTGAAATGCCAATTACACTTGATATATTTAACGTTAAGTAAGATATTCGTGTATACGAATAAAAGATTCCCAACTAGGTGGAGTGACGACCTGGTAAGATATGGAGGAAATCGATGGATGCAGGTGGCTGAGGACCGTGTTGTGGCATTTCTTGGGGGAGGCCTATGTTCAGCAGTGAACTTGTGAAGGGTTGTAATGAGGTGAACAAAGTAGAAGTTTATTATCTTTTGTCACTCGGTGTATTTATTAGAGCTATGTTGCAGGTTTATTAATAAAAAAAAAATAAAGTTACAGCCTATATACGTCCCAATGCTGGGCACAGGTCTCCTATCATTTCTGAGAGGGTTCCTTCTTCTAGGGCAAGGAAGTGTCCGCCGCGCTGCCCCAATGCGTGTTGGCGAACTTCAAATGTCTTCGAAATATTTCTTTTTTTTATTTCTCAGACATGCAGGTTTCCTCACGATGTTTTCCTTCACCGCCGAGTACGTGGTAAATCAGCACTTAAAATTGCAATTAACAATTTCATTGGTGCCGGCGGGGATGGAATCCGGTTTGCTCGCATACTGTGAAATTTACAGCGAGCTAACCATCTGAGCTACCATGGCTCAGATGCTTTATTAATGTTGCAGCACAATGGGGTATGCTCAACCGGGGAAAGGACCACGTATTGACGGAATACCAGTGAAAGTTGCACTTCAATGGTGCTGTATTGCATATGGTGAGTTTAGTCAACTGGAAATGTTGGGCAATAGCATCCACTCACCATAAGGTGGACTGTGTGCTTATTTGTCATAAAAATAAATCTTTCTAAATCTAGTTCTAGATGTTTTTGTAATTTTAGCATGCCTAAATGTAAAGATTGAGATTAAATTGAAATATAATTTATTTAACAAATTGTAAAATGAAATAACTAAAACTCGTTATAATATAGTTCTTAGTAAATAATCTCATTTCATTCAAAAAATCACCCTTTCAACATTTTAATTTTTTTTTGTAGCTTTAAAACATCATATATTTTTTTCCATTTCATCATGTAGTTTTATGCATATTATAAATAAAAAGATTTTAAATATTGTGTAGTTTGTTTATTTAAACCAGTAGTTTAAGAATTCGATATAACTTGCCGGCACATGTGGATGTTTTTTTCGTAGTTGTAAAAATAAAGTGAACACATAAGATCACTGCCTGTGTTGCGGAATCCTGAACCCATTGATACAAAAACATCAGAAAAGGACAATCAAATGTTTTTATAGTCTATCCGTCCATTCCATTACAACATATAAAAGTCTACATATACATCTCATATATACATCTCATAGATTGCCTTATAGTGAGGACTTTGCCATAGTTGATATTCTTGGCAGGCGGGGGTTGGTAACCGCAGTTTTTTTAATAATAATAAATATTTATTTGAAAAAAAAACGTGATACATTTTTAGGTCTTATAACATAGTATAAATCGGTTTATCGGTATGCAAATATTACGTCAACGTGCAATTGAATAAATAAAATCAGAAAAATACAAAATTACGTTATTATTTCATATTAATTTGAATAAAACAGTAAAAAAATAATATAAAGGCATGGTTGTGTATGTATTTTGAGTTGTTTCCATCAGGAAGATGTTGCTTCCTGTTTATTTGTTTCCCTGTGTTTCCTGTTACGACACCCACGGGACGATATGGGCTATGGCTATATTAGTAAGAATTATATGCCGGCTGTACGAGGTCCGTTCAAAAAGTATCGCGAATTTTGAATTTCCGCGGGCGACGTATTTTTGATTTTTTGTAGCCTTATATTGGTACTCATGTCCTTTACTTATGCTGATAAGGGCGGCTATTTTGAATGTTTAGTTAATTTTTGACAGCTGTTTTGCTTGGATGTGTTTTCGCTCGTCTACGATTTTTGCCTATTCCAAAAAATGGATCAAAGAATCTGTATTAAATTTTGTGTGAAAAACAAAATAAAGTGCGCGGACGCATTCCGAATGTTGACTGTGGCATATGGTGAAGCTACCTTGGACCAAAGCAACGTTTATCGGTGGTACAAAACGTTCTCAGAGGACCAAGAAGATGTGAACGACGAACAGCGTGCCGAGCACGTCAACAATAGACGATAACATTGATAAAGTGAAGAAAATATTATTGGCCAATCGTCGAATCACCATTAGAGAAGTTGCTGAGGATCTACACATATCGATTGGCTCATGCCATTCGATTGTAAGTAATGATTTGGGCATGAGTCGGGTCGCCGCGAAATTCGTGCCAAAATTGCTCAATTTCGACCACAAACGTTGCTCAGGAGATGTTGGACTCGGTCCGTGACGACCCAAATGTGCTCCAGAGGGTCATAACTGGTGACATATCATGGGTTTATGTTTATGACGTGGAAACCACAGCTCAATCATCCCAATGGAAGCTGCCGCATGAGCAAAGACCGAAAAAAGCGCGCAAAGTTCGGTCAAACGTGAAGGTTTTGCTCACAGTTTTTTTTTGATTGCAGGTGCGTGGTGCATCATGAGTTCGTGCCACAAGGTAGTACAGTCAATAAAGAATATTACCTGCAAGTTATGCGCAATTTGCGCGAAGCAATCCGCCAGAAACGCCCGGATTTGTGGAAGAACAAAAACTGGCTTTTGCACCATGATAACGCCCCTGCGTCGTTGCTTGTCCGCGAATATTTATCCAAAAACAACACAATAATGGTTCCACAGCCACTGTATTTCCCAGACCTGGCCCCCTGTGACTTTTTCTTGTTCTCAAAACTGAAGAGGCCCATGAAAGGACGGCGCTACGCCACGATTGAGGAGATAATAAAGACGGCATCGAAGGAGGAACTGAAGAAGATCACGAAAAAATATTTTTTTAAGTGCTTCGAGGATTGGAAAAAACGTTGGCACAAGTGAATTATATCCGAGGGGGATTACTTTGAAGGAGACAAAATAGATATTCATGAATAAATAAACACTTTTTGAAAAAATACAAAATTCGCGATACTTTTTGAACAGACTGTGTACACGCTCGTCTCGTCGCCTCACGTGCCTCTCATCGTGTTGAAGCTCGACACAAGAACACACCATGTACACACTCGCATCATTTGAACTCCGTATGCCCGCTGAGATGGACCTAGATGAAACTGTTGATGCGTTTTGCCTTTGTGCTATTAGTTATTATGACTTTTTATACACTTACTATAAAAAAAAATTAATAAGCCACGGCGAAGAAGAAGATAATAAATAGATGGTTTGTATTTATTTGTAACTGAACTATGTATGGTGAATAGAATTTAGTACGCTCTCGTTTTCATCGGGAGACTCACGAGACCCTTTGAGTCGAGCGCAAAAAACCGACACGCTTCCGAGAGCGCACGAGACGCGACGCGACGTGACGCGACTAGAACACCATGTACACAACCGTACTCGCTCTGTCTCGTGGTGTCTCGACGAGCGTGTACAGCTGCCAATAAAATAAAAAGTTAAATGGAATGAAACTTCTTTATCGACGTAGTGGAGAAATTCAGTACGGTATTAAAAAACAAAAACGTCACTTTTTCTTGTAACGTTTCACCGTCCAGGTTCTTTAACCTCCATGGTCCAGGCTATCAGTATACAATTATTTAATACCGTGTGTTAGTGTTTACCTCACCGTTATCCTTGAAACCAATGGTTTGGTTTCACTTAGAGAACGTAAATTCAATGAAATATAACAACATTTTTTTATTAAAATCTTAATTTTTCCTTAATTCCTCAATTTTGCCTGTCCTAAGCCAAGATGAAAGTATGAAGGAAAAGTTACGTTATAGGTTATGTGTACCTATTGTGTTTTTATTGGAATGTTGTGTAGGTAGCTAGCGCAGGCGATGATCTTAACGGCGCCTCTACACGTTGGCCAACACAGTGGCGAATGTAGTGGCCAATAGCATTGGCCAACGTGTAGACGGGGTGTTTGGGCTTCATTGGTATGTATTGGAACGATGGCCCGCAAGTTGGCGCGAGATCCGTGTGGTGTCGGTTTTTTACAAAAGATCAAAGGATTGTTGGCAGAGTTTGGTCGCCGGGTCCACACGTTGGCCGCGAGTTTAGTTTGCTACAAGCTCCCAGAGTGATTACACGCATCTGATTAATTTTATATTCACGCTTTGTAGGGTGGATGACCCAATTACCAGCCTTTTAGTGCCAATTTCAACTTTAAACATTCCTACTACTTTAATTAGCGCGATTTAATTATTTTTAAACATTTGTTTTAATCGATAAGCTATTTATAAAAAAAATTAACATTTATTTACAATCAGATTATTACGAGAATAATTTTAAAATGAAAAAAAATAAAATGAAGCACGTCGTTTATACGTGGTAGAACCATGCAGTTATATTAGAAGTATAGTTGTAGCACGAATGGGTCGGTTCGACCGGGGAAGGACCACGCTCTCACAGAATATCAATGTAAAATAGTAGCTTAATGATGCTGTGTTTCGTATAGTGAGTGTAGAGAACCAGAGACACTTTTTAAAGGAAACGAGGCATTTCATCTTAGTCCTCACGGGTGACAACGCATCTGCATTTTGATTCGTAATCGAGGATAGATGTAGATGTCTGTGGGCCACAGCAACCACTTACCATCAGTTGGACTGTGTGCTCGTTTGTCACCCTATCCTATATAAAAAAGCGTCGATTTCTTGTAATTTAATCATGCAAGTTTTCGAATCATCATCATCATTACAGCTCTTCACAAGTCCACTACTGAACATCCTCCTCCAAAGAATGCCGCAAAGCATAGTCCTGAGCCACTTTCCTTGTCATGAGTTTTTCATTTATGTTCTAAGTTATAATTAGTACTTATTATTAAGTCAGTGTTAATTATATTTATTGCTATTGTTTTTGTCTTTCTCAAAAAATAATTAAATTACCAAATAAATTATAAGGTGTTTTTTATATACATCAAATGTCTGATAGAAAAGCAAGTATATGTTTTGCTAAATTTTAAAAACAAAACCCAATTTTAAAACATAGACTAATCGATTATAACTCCTTTAACTTTAAAATAAGTTAAGTTCTAATTAATGGTATTTATTCCAGTTTCTGATGCATGTAAAGAATAAATGAAGCTAATCGTATATCGTATATCTATTTACAGCCCCATTAATATTCACTATTCTTTTATAATTATTTTATAAAAACGAAAACTAAAACTTGGATTTTCTCCTGTATCGCGGAGGCAACTTACAAACATAAATTGCACAAGGATACACATCCTAGACCCGAAACAATTATTTGTAGGATATACAAATACTTGTTCCGTGCTGGATTCAAACCCGCGACCCCTGGCACAGCCACTCATTTCCAAGCCACTGCCCACGGAGCCGTCGTCGAAAATAAAATAAATTCGTCCGCATGAACGACCTTCCAACGTGTGGACGCCGTCACCAACTCTCGGCCAATATATTCGCTACTACATTCGCCACTGTGTTGGCCAACGTGCAGAGGCGACATTACAGTGATTACGTCACTCGGGCGCATAGGGTATCTATGAATTTACGGACGGTGTGGTACAGAATTTTTTTTAAATTTTATGAAAGAAAATAGCATTTTTTTACCGTTGTCACTAAAACCATAGGTGCTTACACACACCTTGTATATTTACGTAAATATCTTTTTATACGTGGTAGAGTCATGCTGCAAATATATTGCTCGAATAGTTTTAGCACGAATGGGTGGGCCCGACTAAAGGAGGACCACGCTCTCTGAAAACCGTTGTAAAAAGCAGCTTAGCTCTGCTGTGTTTCGTATGGTGAGTGTAGAGAACCGGAGACCCTTTTTACTAGAAACAAAGCATTCCATCCAAGTCCCAGCAAGTCCTCACGGGTGACAATGAATCTGCATTTCGATTCGTAATCGAGAATACATGTAGATGTCTATGGGCGACAGCAACCGCTTACCATCTGGTGGACTGTGTACTCGTTTGTCACCCTTATTCTATAAAAAATAATAAAAGAAGAATGATATGTCGTAAAGAATTTTCACTTCGTACCTACGTGTGTCCGCAATCATACGCACAATTGTTTCATCATTATTTCAAGCCTATTGGCAATTCTATACAGTATCGCTGGAAGGAGTAATCTGGCATCGTCGAAATCATTTTGTGAATGCTCTTGTTAATGTTTCGCAGATCCTGTAATATTGTGAGTGATTTCTTTCGCATAGCGGCGTGAAATCCATCAGTCTGAATATCCGCGAATGCAGCAGCGCCATGGTAGTACCAACAGGCGTCAAAGCGCTGTGTTTAATATATGTTTATATATATATATATATATATATATATATATATATATATATATATATATATATATATATATATATATATTATATATATATTATATACGTATGACGTAACCACGGAGCAAATCTTTGTATTTGCTCCGTGGTTACGTCAACTATTTATTAATCTGTGGTTACGTGCCGCGATATATACCTATGTTTTTGTATGTATGTGTAAGTTACGCGATATCTTCATCAATCGATTATTATTACGTTTTTATTAAATAGGTTATATTTCAGCTGTGGTCACATATACATTTGAATGGAGATAAATTCAATTTTTTTTAATGTAACTATTTAGATGACAGTCGATAACTTAGTTGTTACTTTGAACTTGTGACATTCCTTACACCAGAATGAGTCCACTTAAAAAGGGCCAAACATTTTAGCTTCTAATAAAAAGTATTATTTTTATTAAATACTAATACACGTTATATTTACATAATGTGCAATTCCAGATTAGTTTTCGGTAATGCACTTTTAAATAAATCGCTATCAATTACAAATGCAATTTAATGGAATTGAAATTGATTTGATTTTGAATCGATGCAATTTAATGTATTGTCTTATGCCGCCATCGCCACACCATAGTATCTAAAAAAATAAACGCATTGTATACCTAATTAGTTTTATTTATAAAAACAATATTTAAAAGTATGTACGTTAAATAAAAAAATGTCTTACAAAAACATTTACACAAAATTGAATACATTATTAAAAACAGATTCAAAAATTATCAGATCCTAGGATCATCTTCTTCCAATTTGACCATCCTTTCAGAAATCTCCCAAAGTTTTCTTGCCCTGCCCATGTCGCTTGCTGAGCTGGACAAAGAACTTTCTTCGCAATCTGAAAAGTATTTTCCAGTTACCTTTAAAAGGTTTTCGTCGACTGCAAGCATAACTGACGTTTGGCATCCTTGGACCGGCGTCTTAAAGAAACCCTTGATAATTAAATTAAGACCCCAGCTCAATGGTCTTGGAACCGAACGCCATATCCCAGTGTCAATTAATCCAGGATGGAGACAGTTAGCTGTGACACCCGTTCCTTCTAAGCGTCGCGCCAATTCCCTCGTGAAGAGTATATTAGCTTCTTTAGACACGTAGTACAAGTATCCAGGAAAAGTATCAACTGGATTTGGATTGTTCAAATTGACAGATCCGAAACGGTACAGTGATGATGCAACCACAACAATTCTGGATGGAGAGGATTTCTTCAATAATTTTATCAAGAGATGCGTCAGAAGAAAGGGACCGTAATGGTTGGTGGCCATTGTGAGTTCAATGCCGTCTACTGATTTGTTTTTCTTGAAACTTTCTGCGTAACCAGCGTTATGGATAAGGACTTCAAGATGCTGTTCATTCTTGTTGACGTCCTCAGCAAACTCGCGTATGGAGGCGAAAGAACTTAAGTCCAATTTCTTGACTAATACATTTTCATTTTTCGTCGTCTCGATTATCTCATCTGCAATAAAGGTAAAAAGTAAAGTACACAGCCTATACATATACATCCCACTGCTGGGCACAGGCCTCCCCTCATTTCTGAGAGGGTTTTAGGGCAAGGAAGTGTCCGCCGCGGTGCCCCAATGCGTGTTGGCGAACTTCACATGTCTTCGAAATATTTTTTTTCTTATTCCTCAGACATGCAGGTTTCCTCACGATGTTTCCCTTCACTGCCGAGCACGTGGTAGATCAGCACTTAAAATTGCAGTTAACAATTTCATTGGTGCCGGCGGGGATCGAACCCGGGTTACTCGCGTTCTGTTATATTTACAGCGAGCGTTAACCGTCTGAGCTACCACGGCTCCTGGAATAAAGATGTTTATAATTATTTTTTGTGAACAAGGTCACTTTGATTATATCTTGTAAGTCATTAAGTTAAAAAAAATAAGAATCAGTGAACTTGATAATTGAACGGTATTGCACTACTTGGTGTTTTAACTTGAAAAAACTTTTTTAAAGATTTATAAAATCCCATTCTTGCTTTAAAACATAGGTGCTTCGTTTACACTAGTTTTATAAAATAAGGATAATAAACGAGATCACAGTCCACCTAATGAAAACCTAACTATCGTCGATTAAAAATTAAGATACAGATGCGTTGTCACCTACAATACTAGAGAAAGTTGTTACAGGAATAAGATGGAATGCCTCGCTTCCAGTAAAGAAAGGCTCTAGTACATAATACTTCTAAACGATCCACAGCAGCTTTAAGTTGCTTTTTTACACTGGTATTCAGTGAGAGCGTGGTCTTTCCCCAGTCAAATGGCCCTATTATAATCAAATTGAATGATTCAGTAATGGTAGAGCCACGCTGCAGTTATATTATGGTTGTGGCACGAATAGGTCGGCTCGACCGGGGCAGACCCATGCTCTCACAGAATACCAGCGCGAAATAGTATAGTTAATCCTCAGGGGTGACAACGCATCTGAAATTTGATTTTTGATCGAGGTTAAATGTGGATATCTATGGGCCACAGCATCCACTTACCATCAGGTGGACTGTGTGCTCGTTTGTCACCCTTATTCTATAAAAAAAAACAATAATTAATACGCCGCGTAAATGATACTTATAGTCTCCATCTTTTTTCCCACAGGTGTCGCGAATAGACGATCAGAGTAAACTCGTAGCCTCGGTAGGTGACGGTTTGCCACGTCTTATAAAACAGATGTTAAATACCCACGCCGTGATCCTGTATTAGAACGTCATCGTCTGGAGACGTATTGAAGCAGCGTTTACGGTTCAGAAATGCTAACTCAGTTCTCCTCAACCAGCGTGGATGTTTAGAAGTAGCTTCTCTATTCCAAGAAAATAGCTCAAGCCGGCAACGGAGAGCAGTGAAAAAGCTAAGATGTTTCTCGTACTGCGAATGCTAATTCCAGGAGGATTAATGATTTAATGGATGAATGCTCATCCCAAGCGTAACAAACACCTATAGCAAATCTTGCCTACAATAATAGGACTAATAATCCTCCTGATCGAATTTCGATCACGGCGGCTAGCCTCAACGACGACTAGCCATCGGCGCAGGACAGGATTATAGTGCCCAAGTGTATGCGCAAGTACAGGTGCACTCTCTATTCCCTCACTCTCATAATCCGACGGGACTGTAAACCGAAACGACCACAGAGAGATCAGGCGCAGGACCGTTGGCTTTACGTGGTTTCCGAGGCACGGGGGTGAGAACCGCCAACTTCCTGACTCCGGGCAGCTACTGAGAATATCTAGACGGAAAAACTCAGTAATTATTTTTGGCCCGACCCGGTATTCAAACCCAGAACCTCATGATCAGCAGTCGCACTAGTACAACCACTAGACAAACGAGGCAGTCATAATAGGATTAATAGAGAATACCGTACTGTTACAGGGTAATAAAGTAGAAGAGCTGTTTTCGTTGCTGATTTTGATCACAGCGACAAGTCGGCGACTTCCCAGTATTGATGACTATTTAGTGTGAAAGTGATGTTTGGGTAAAATGCACTAATAGCCTTCTATGTTTAGAGTTAGCATCAGGTGGTAATTGACTGCAATGTCTAAATCTTATCAAGTGAACTGCGAAGCTCGTTTAAGATTTTAGTGTCATAAAAACCCACATAAGTGCTAACTGTGCAGTTATGTAACCAAATTTTATTGAAATATTGAAAACATTTGAATATACTGGCCAAAATAAAACTGTGAAGTGTAAAAAAAAACTGAATGAACGACGGAAGCTATTGGTTTTATGTTTGTAATTTCTATATACAGCTACCTTTTAAAATAAGTATAATATTACTTAGGCATATCAAATAATTATTAAAATGATTTCTTGTGCTCGTTGAGACAAAGATGAAGTATCTCGTATCACAATTTACTCACTTTTGATCTCCTCCGCTGCCTCGATATTTCTGCACGCCATTATTACCCTTGCCCCTCGCTTCGCCAGTTCTCTTGCGGTTTCCTTACCAATACCGCTCGTGCATCCAGTTATTATAACAGTCTTTCCATCCATTTTCGTATTCCCTTTATAGATACCGCAAGTATATTTTGCGTATAGTCGGATAGCGTAGAGCACACTGACGAAAGCGAGGAATGTGAGGAAACCGATAATTATGATCACAAAGAAGAACCAGTAGAGGTAATCACCCTTCCAATATTCGGCGACAGTCATGGCTGAAACAAAAAACATATTACCTTAACATGCTATTATAGCTACACTTATATGTTAGTAATGGATTTTTTTACGGATGTCGTTGGACTAAGGGGAAAATGACGAAAACTTTATAATTGTTTTTTCATACTTTGTCTGCACACTTACTTAGTAAGGGCAAAGATATATACCTGTAACTGATACATATATGACAAGAGTATATAACGTACTATAAAAATCGGCTAAATATAATAATTTTGCCGATTTTACATATTTATGTTTTAAAATTCTTGCAAAAATGGGGGGATTTAAGGGCAGCATTTATGGTTTTAGTAGCCCCAGGCAGCATCAACCCATACCACTAAAATACCTACACTTATACCTACATAGTTTAAGTACCTACACTTTGTGGCATTCCTTGGGGGAGGCCAATGTTCAGCAGCGGACTAGTGAAGGGCCTTAATGATGATGTAATAATGACATACCCAGAGTTGCGATAGGAAGCAGCGTCAATTACGGGAAACGTCTGGTGCTATCACCAGTACTCGTATCGATTTAGCCAATTCATTCCTTTACGGCCTGATGAATAGAATGGGGAAAGAAGTTGTGGTTCAAAATCAATACAATTTTAATTACGCAAAATTAAGGCCCGGTTTACATTTTGAGGAGTGACAAGTGCGAGTGGCAAGTGCAACTGACAAATGACAAGTGCTTAGTGCGTGTGAACAGTCAGTGACAAGTGATAAGTGGGAATAAAATGCGCACTAAGCACTTGCCATTTGTCAGTTGCCCTTGCCACTTGTACTTGTCACCTCTCAAAGTGTTACCGGGCCTAAAGCCCGGTTTACATTTTGAGAAGTGACAAGTGCGAGTGACAATGATAAGTGACAAATGACAAGTGCTTAGTGCGTGTGAACAGGCAGTGACAAGTGCGAGTGACAAGTGATAAGTGCGAAATGAAAAGTAACAAGTGAATAGCGGCCTGCTCTATTCTCTCTCTCTCCCGCGCTCTCTATCTCTGCCCCGCGCTAACCTTGCTTTCTCCTCAGTCTCCCTCTGCCGCCCCCGTTCTAGCCGTGACGTCAGAACATACATGTATTGTTTATAATAGTTATTTAATCAAATATTTTTGTTACATATATTGTATACATACTCGTATTTATAGTAATTTTATTTTATTACGAAGTGGTCAGATAGCAATAACATTAAATTTGTCAAGGAATTATTGAAACACGAATGTTTATACAATATTAAATCGCAGAATTAAAAAAATAATATGATGCGAGACGCTGCTATGCCCTCAATATCTCAATATCTCAACGGGAATGGCCGGTTTCGGCGCAAAAGAAGTGGGTATATGCGAAGTTAAGTAGTTAAGAAGCTACACATTACCAAGAAAAGCAGAAAATTAAAGACTCCTGTAGGTCAGGGGCTGGAGCCATATTATTTTCAGGCTTAAATTTTTTGCTTTAATACACTTTTTCTCATTTAAGCGTTTTTAGGAAATTGGTGTGCACCAATATCTTTGCAATAAGGCACTTCACACATCTATGGTATCTCATCATACAATTTTACCTTTTTTTGATTAAAGTTTTAAACTTTAAAACTATGCTAGCGCCTCTTTGACAATTACCTACCCAATTTCACACTCGCAGATTTCACATAATAATGACATCCACTTGCTACATGTGTGAGCACCAACTTGCTATTTGTCACTTGTCATTTGTCACTTGTCATTGCCGCTCGCACTTGTCACTTCTCAAAATGTAAACCGGGCTTAAGGTACCTTTTTTATTTCAATTATACATAAAACAAACCGCAAAACGGTTTGTATTGGTGCTGGCAGACGTCTACACGCATTAATATATTATTTTTAATAACTACCTACTATCATAAAATTGAAAAAAAAAGTTATTTTTATATTACCTATACCTATACTGCTAGTTTGCCAAGGAACTGATTTTGGTATACCAACTGCAATATTATAAAGTGGTTTTTTTAATAGAATAAGAGTGACTAACGAGCACACAGTCCACCTGATGGTAAGTGGATGCTGTGGCTCATAGATATCCACATTTATCCTCGATTAAGAATCAAAATGCAGATGCGTTGTCACCCCTGAGGACAAAGATGGAATGCCTCGTTTCCAGTGAAAAAGGGTCTCCGGATCTCTACACTCACCATACAAAACACAGCAGTATTAAGCCGTTATTTTAAGCTGGTATTCTGTGAGAGCGTGGTCCTTCCCCGGTCGAGTCGACCCATTCGTGCTACAACCAAAATATAGTTGCAGCCTGGCTCTACCACATATAAAAAAGTGGATAGCAATTTGTTAAATTAATATACTACTCCACACAAATCATATTTAAATTGTTATACTTTCAAAGCTGTTATTGTTTAGCTATTAAATAAAAACCAAACAAAATTTATTGCACTATAATAACAACAGTTTTAACAATGAAGCGACAGTAGTCTAATGGCAGGGCGCGTATCGCGAACTCAAAAGGTCGTGGGTTCGAATCCGCCATTTGACTAGTGTTGTGAACCACTCCTAACACAAGCGTTTCAAGCTTACCAAGAGTGTTTAAAAGGAATATTAGTAATGTTAATTAATAAGATTACTAATATTTTTTATAAAAAAAACAATGATTATAACTTTTAAAAAAATGTAAAAAGTGAAAACCGACTTCAAATTGATAAAAAAGAAGTTTTTTTTTTATTTACTACCGTTACGGGTGGAAATTTTCCTTCAAATTTATATGGGTCCATTCTTGAAGTGTAACCTATTTACAAAAATAATCATCAATATTTGGTTCATATCTGCGACGCTATCGCATAACCTGCATACAAAAAAATATATACACTCGAACACCTCCTCCTTTTTAAAGTCGGTTAAATTAAAACAGAAAACTTAAAGATATGATATCGTGATTAATATAATTTTTATATACTCAAAGTATAACATATTCATCAGTCTATAAATCAGACGTGTCAGGGTCGATGTTATCACAGTTTAAACTTTAAAGAGACACTGTGACATTACCATGGAATACTATAATACTATATTATAGCATTCTATGTACTTATGTCGCAGCCCGATTGTTTAATCAGCCCTTTAATTAAAAACCCTACCTATATCTTAGTATGACGGGTCTTGATTTGCATTATAAACCGTACAAGCTAGCTTTCGGTCAGCAAGAACGTTGTTATTATTAAAAAAAAAAGCGGCCAAGAGCGTGTCGGGCCACGCTCAGTGTAGGGTTCCGTAGTTTCCCGTCCGTCACAATAAGTGTTCCCACTTAGGAGTTTAAAGGTGGGTATCCATTATGTTCGCGCTCCAACAGCGCTCCGCGCTCCTGCAACTGCTCCCGGTAGTGGGTACTGTTGTTTCCATCCAAGTTCAAAATGATTTTCCTAGAAAGTCCTTATAAAGTTCTACTTTTCAGATTTTTTTCATATTTTCTAAACTTATGGTACAAAAGTTAGAGGGGGGGCGGACACATTGTTTTTTACTTTTGGAGCGATTATTTCCGAAATTATTGACATTATCAAAAAATGATTTTAGTAAACCCCTATTCATTTTTAAATACCTTTCTAACAATATATCACACGTTAGGGTTGAAATTAAAAAAAAATCACTTCCCACTTTAACATAGGGGCTACCCTAATAAAACATTTTTTTCCAATTTTTATTTTACCACTTTGTCGGCGTGATTGATACACATATTGGTACCAAATTTCAGCTTTCTAGTACTAACGGTCACAGAGATTAAGCTAGGACGGACAGACGGACAGACAGACATGGCGAAACTATAAGGATTCCTAGTTGACTACGGAACCCTAAAAAGGCTAGGCATATATTTGACTTAAAAATTAATTTTATCCCACACTAAGATTTTCCTCTGTATCATGGAGGCAGTTTATATACATAAATTGCACAAGAACAAACATCCATATATGGTGCAATTATTTATAGTCCTTACAAATACTAGTTCCGTGCGGGACTCGAACCCGCGCCTCTCAGCGCCGTATTTATTGCTAAGTCACTCGGCCACAGAGCCGTCAATTATTTTATTTTCCAAATACTAGCGGTCCAAATGAATCATCCGCCTGCGACATGGATACTTAAGTATTTCATTGAAACAATAAGATGACCGCTTTAATCTGTCGTTTCGCAAAGGTCATTGCACTTACAAAATATTTCCCAACAAGCCATTGTTTATTGTTTGAACAATGTCAGTAATTGCTTTTAGTAATTTTGGGTGGCATACAACAAACATAGTTTTCAATTTAAAGTTTTGTATTTCCTTCCTTAACAAAAAGGTTTTTTTTTATAGAAATAGGGTGACAAACGAGCACACAGTCCATCTGACGGTAAGTTTGCAGCCCATGGACTAGGAGCTACATACATCACTTCTGAAAACTAAGATGGAATGCTTCACAGCTCATAACTAATATAGTTCAATATGGAGTAGTAAAGGTGAAACTTTTTTTATAGGTTAAGGTTGACAAACGAGCTCACAGTCCACTTCATGTTAAGTGGTTGCTGAGGCCCATAGACATCTACATGTATCCTCGATTACGTATCAAAATGCAGATGCGTTGTCACCCGTGAGTATTAAGATGGAGTGCCTCGTTTCCACTAAAAAGGGTCTCCCGTTATCTTCACTTAACACAGAAACACAGCACCGTGAAGCTGCTATTTTCTGGTATTCTGTGAGAGCGTGGTCCTTCCCCGGTCGCGGCGACCCATTCGTGCTACAACTATACTATTAATATAACTGCAGCGTGGCTCTACCACGTATATATGGTAAAAGATGGGGATATACTCGTAGTAAAGATGGAATACTTCACAACCTGTAACATACGTAAATATCAAAGCATTCTGTCTGAACCACTGTCAAATGCTGCTCAAATGGTGTATAATTTAGTTAGCATTTTGTGTAAGTAATTTAATAAATTGTAGTGTGTTATTTAGTTATAAGGCACAATGAGACTGACATGTTAAAAATAACGTAAGTCC